GTTTGTTTTTGTTTGAAAAAAGCGGAACAAAAAAACAAAGAGGTGGAGGATTTTATTACAAAGGACAAAGAGACCAAGTCCCGAAATTTCCAATGGTTGATAATTCTGAATTTTTCGTACCTTTTAGGGACTAAACTTGATAACTTTTTTTGATTTTTGTTTTAGAGAAAAGTGTCTAAAGGAAACGTTGTTTTGTTTTTGTTTGAAAATTAAGGAACAAAAAAGAAAAAATAATTTTATTAAAAATTGACAAAGATACCAAGGGTTTGAATTTTCCATGGTTGATAACCTGAATTTTTCATACTTTAGGGACACAACTTGATAACTTTTTTGATTTTTGTTTTAGAGAAAATTGTCTAAAGGAAAGTTGTTTGTTTTGTTTTTGAAAATTAAGGAACAAAAAAGAAAAATAATTTTATTAAAATTGACAAAGATACCAAGGTTTGAAATTTCCATGGTTGATAAACCTGAATTTTTTCATACTTTTAGGGACACAACTTGATAACTTTTTTGATTTTTGTTTTAGAGAAAGTGTCTAAAGGAAACGTTGTCTGTTTTTGTTTGAAAATTAAGAAACAAAAAGAAAAAATAATTTTATTAAAAATTGACAAAGATACCAAGGTTTTGAAATTTCCATGGTTGATAAACCTGAATTTTTCGTACCTTTAGGGACTAAACTTGATAACTTTTTTTATTTTGTTTTTAGAGAAAGTGTCTAAAGGAAAAGTTGTTTGTTTTTGTTTGAAAATTAAGGAACAAAAAAGAAAAAATAATTTTATTACAAATTGACAAAGATACCAAGGGTTGAAATTTCCATGGTTGATAAACCTGAATTTTTCATACTTTAGGGACACAACTTGATAACTTTTTTGATTTTGTTTTAGAGAAAAGTGTCTAAAGGAAAAGTGTTTGTTTTTGTTTGAAAATTAAGGAACAAAAAAGAAAAAATAATTTATTAAAATTGACAAAGATACCAAGGTTTGAAATTTCCATGGTTGATAATTCTGAATTTTTCGTACCTTTAGGGACTAAACTTGATAACTTTTTTGATTTTTGTTTTAGAGAAAAGTGTCTAAAGGAAAAGTTGTTTGTTTTTGTTTGAAAATTAAGGAACAAAAAAGAAAAAATAATTTTATTACAAATTGACAAAGATACCAAGGGTTGAAATTTCCATGGTTGATAAACCTGAATTTTTCATACTTTTAGGGACACAACTTGATAACTTTTTTGATTTTTGTTTTAGAGAAAAGTGTCTAAAGGAAAAGTTGTTTGTTTTTGTTTGAAAATTAAGGAACAAAAAGAAAAAATAATTTTATTACAAATTGACAAAGATACCAAGGGTTGAAATTTCCATGGTTGATAAACCTGAATTTTTCATACTTTTAGGGACACAACTTGATAACTTTTTTGATTTTTGTTTTAGAGAAAAGTGTCTAAAGGAAAAGTTGTTTGTTTTTGTTTGAAAATTAAGGAACAAAAAAGAAAAAATAATTTTATTAAAAAATTGACAAAGATACCAAGGTTTGAAATTTCCATGGTTGATAATTCTGAATTTTTCGTACCTTTAGGGACTAAACTTGATAACTTTTTTGATTTTTGTTTTAGAGAAAAGTGTCTAAAGGAAAAGTTGTTTGTTTTTGTTTGAAAATTAAGGGACAAAAAAGAAAATTATTTTTATTGAAAATTGACAAAGATACCAAGGTTTGAAATTTCCATGGTTGATAATTCTGAATTTTTCGTACCTTTAGGGACTAAACTTGATAACTTTTTTGATTTTTGTTTTAGAGAAAAGTGTCTAAGGAAAAGTTGTTTGTTTTTGTTTGAAAATTAAGGAACAAAAAAGAAAAAATAATTTTATTACAAATTGACAAAGATACCAAGGGTTGAAATTTCCATGGTTGATAAACCTGAATTTTTCATACTTTTAGGGACACAACTTGATAACTTTTTTGATTTTTGTTTTAGAGAAAAGTGTCTAAAGGAAAAGTTGTTTGTTTTTGTTTGAAAATTAAGGAACAAAAAAGAAAAAATAATTTTATTAAAAATTGACAAAGATACCAAGGTTTGAAATTTCCATGGTTGATAATTCTGAATTTTTCGTACCTTTAGGGACTAAACTTGATAACTTTTTTGATTTTTGTTTTAGAGAAAAGTGTCTAAAGGAAAAGTTGTTTGTTTTTGTTTGAAAATTAAGGGACAAAAAAGAAAAATTATTTTTATTGAAAATTGACAAAGATACCAAGGTTTGAAATTTCCATGGTTGATAATTCTGAATTTTTCGTACCTTTAGGGACTAAACTTGATAACTTTTTTGATTTTTGTTTTAGAGAAAAGTGTCTAAAGGAAAAGTTGTTTGTTTTTGTTTGAAAATTAAGGAACAAAAAAGAAAAAATAATTTTATTAAAAATTGACAAAGATACCAAGGGTTGAAATTTCCATGGTTGATAAACCTGAATTTTTCATACTTTTAGGGACACAACTTGATAACTTTTTTGATTTTTGTTTTAGAGAAAAGTGTCTAAAGGAAAAGTTGTTTGTTTTTGTTTGAAAATTGAGGAACAAAAAAGAAAAAATAATTTTATTAAAAATTGACAAAGATACCAAGGGTTGAAATTTCCATGGTTGATAAACCTGAATTTTTCATACTTTTAGGGACACAACTTGATAACTTTTTTGATTTTTGTTTTAGAGAAAAGTGTCTAAAGGAAAAGTTGTTTGTTTTTGTTTGAAAATTAAGGAACAAAAAAGAAAAAATAATTTTATTAAAAATTGACAAAGATACCAAGGTTTGAAATTTCCATGGTTGATAAACCTGAATTTTTCATACTTTTAGGGACACAACTTGTTAACTTTTTTTATTTTTGTTTTAGAGAAAAGTGTCTAAAGGAAAAGTTGTTTGTTTTTGTTTGAAAATTAAGGAACAAAAAAGAAAAAATAATTTTATTAAAAATTGACAAAGATACCAAGGGTTGAAATTTCCATGGTTGATAAACCTGAATTTTTCATACTTTTAGGGACTAAACTTGATAACTTTTTTGATTTTTGTTTTAGAGAAAAGTGTCTAAAGGAAAAGTTGTTTGTTTTTGTTTGATAATTAAGGAACAAAAAAGAAAAATTAATTTTATTAAAAATTGACAAAGATACCAAGGTTTGAAATTTCCATGGTTGATAAACCTGAATTTTTCATACTTTTAGGGACACAACTTGATAACTTTTTTGATTTTTGTTTTAGAGAAAAGTGTCTAAAGGAAAAGTTGTTTGTTTTTGTTTGAAAATTAAGGGACAAAAAAGAAAAATTATTTTTATTGAAAATTGACAAAGATGCCAAGGTTTGAAATTTCCATGGTTGATAATTCTGAATTTTTCATACTTTTAGGGACACAACTTGATAACTTTTTTTATTTTTGTTTTAGAGAAAAGTGTCTAAAGGAAAAGTTGTTTGTGTTTGTTTGATAATTAAGGAACAAAAAAGAAAAAATAATTTTATTAAAAATTGACAAAGATACCAAGGGTTGGAATTTCCATGGTTGATAAACCTGAATTTTTCATACTTTCAGGGACACAACTTGATAACTTTTTTTATTTTTGTTTTAGAGAAAAGTGTCTAAAGGAAAAGTTGTTTGTTTTTGTTTGATAATTAAGGAACAAAAAAGAAAAATTAATTTTATTAAAAATTGACAAAGATACCAAGGTTTGAAATTTCCATGGTTGATAAACCTGAATTTTTCATACTTTTAGGGACACAACTTGATAACTTTTTTGATTTTTGTTTCACGGAAAAGTGTCTAGAGGAAGAGTTGTTTGTTTTTGCCCTAAATTTTTGGAAGAAATATGAAGAACGAATTTTATTAATGATTGTCAAAGATATTTGTTTATATTTTATTAAAAATGTATTCAAAAATTAGTTATTGCAAAATTTAAAAACTAAAATTTTACATTTAGAATCGATTTACTTAATTATTTTTTTTCGTAGTTTCAGCAAAATTATTATAGTAAAATATTCATTTGAAGTTAAGAAATAATTAATTTTTGTTCATTTGAACGTTTAGTAGTGATTCGTTGTCGTTAGATTGTTAGTCACATAAAGTTTACTTTATGTGACATATATTTATATTTTATATAATATTAAAAATTTATAATTTTAAATTTTGTATAGATAATAATTTTGTAACGAAAAAAAAAGTTTGATTACTTTGGATATAGAGGGAAATTTAAGATGTTTATTAGTCGCCAGGCTTAATTAAAAACCAATATTATAAATGACATAATATAATAAAACTCACCCTCTCGATGTTACCACCGCCGACAACTTCCGGCGTGTTGACACAAACTACCCTCTTTAATCGCAGTTTGTTGACGTGAAAGGCAGAACCGTAACAGTACATGAGCACCATCGTCGTAGGAAAATAGAAGCAACAGCAAGCGAGAATCCTAAAAGTAATTTCAAATTAATAAATTTATATATATGTTTCATAGTTTTCAAATATTCAAAGCTCTGTCATTTATAGAGCTTTACTCTGTTTTAAAACTATAATTATTGCTCTCGATGGCAAAACTTTGCAAAGCTTGCAAAGTTAAATTAAAATTAAAATAGGAAAACTTGTAAAACTTGTAAAATTCAAGAGAAAATATGGAACAGATTCGCAATTTTTGATTTTAACTTTCAGCTTTTAGGTACAATATCTCTCTCTCTTTTTCTATCTGAATATTGGCGTGCTAGCAAAAATACTACGCCAGTACTTGTTTACAAAATTTACTTACTAAAAATTTTTACTAATTCAAATTCAGATAGAATCATCATAATTATTGTAGTTTAGATATTTTCAGTAAAAAAATTACAAAAAAACGATTAGTCATAGTTTTTAGTGCAAAAATCATAGACTTGGAGTCCTGATATTATTCATAGACAATGAATCCTAATACCTAAGCGAGGCTCTAGAAAAGAATGGATCGCAGGCGAGAAGGCCAGTCGCGTTGAAATAATAGCCGCCCTTGGGGAGAACGAGAACTCCAAAAATTGCCACGCTTGCTATCCAAGTAGTTGACATCACAGCCACACAACCCTGCCGCATGTAATACTATACGAACATAAACAAAAACAAATTCAAAAATATTTACTTTCACAAAAATAGATTTCACCAAATTGTATAAAAAAGATTTTTTAAAATTTTTAATCAAAGAAATTTTCCCTTTTTTTATTTTAATTACAAAACATTTAAAAATGAACTAAGAAATTTCCATTTAATTAATTTCATATAATTAAAATCTTTTTATTTTTAATTAGAAATAATGGATTTGCAATTTCTTAAATTAAACAACTTGGAAACAAAAAAATTTCCAATTAATTTCCAAGCATGCAAAGAAATATTGAAAATTGCAATATTTATAGTTGCGAAGGAAATATAAATGATAGAATTTTATTCTTAAAAGCAACCGTTGATCAACTGAATAACATAAAACAAAGCGCAAAATGAAGTTAGAATTGTGTAATGGCTGCAGAAAAATGGGCGTTCTTTAATTTCGTGGTTGAAAAATAAAATTACAGAATGAATGGAAGACACGACGACTTTCATAGCCACGCGAAATTATTGTTTTTTGCTTTGCTTTTAAACTCTCAGTTTTTACCTTTTTTTTCTTTTTTTCTTTTTCTTTTTTTTTTTGAACTGTCACCCAGTTAGCCAATCACAATTGTATCAAAGCCATAGCATTAAATTACAGTGTGGTACTCTTTCCATGAATAGAGTTATATTGAGCATGTTTTTTTATTTACTTTTACTCACGATTTTTAATCAAATTTTACCAAATAAAATGGAGTAAATAAACTTAGAATCGATATAATATACAGTTGGAAAAAATGTATTTATGAAATAATCTTTTAATAATAATCTTTCTTTTTGTATAGTTTTCGGTTCTTTTAAATTTTAGGTTATTTTGATTATTTTAAGTTTTCAGTTATTTGGGTTATTTTAGACAAAGTTTGTTTCAAGTTAAATAAATATTTACTTGAGTTAGGTAAACTTGAATTAAACAGTTGAATAAATTTTGCTTTCGGAAAAAGAATTCGGTAATTTGGTTGATTCAACTAAAATTTGATTATTTCAAGTAAATCTTTTCTGAATTTATTGGAAAAAGTAAGTTCTAAATAAATAGTCGAATAGTAAATAAAATTTTTACTAAGTGAGTAGAAAAATTTTAGTAAAATATTCCATTAAAATAGAAGAATAATTCATTGAATTGAAAAATATTAATATAAATAAAGAAAAATTAAGTAATTAAAGTAGGAAATAATTCATTATAGTGAAAATTAAGTAATTAAAATAGAAAAACAATTCATTGAAATAGAAATAATAAAATAAAAAAAAGAAAATTCAGAAAAATTATATAATTAAAGTGAAAAATAATTCATTGCAATAAAAAATAATTCTTTAAAATAGAAAAATAATAATTTACAATAAAAAATAATTCTTAAAAATAAAAATTAATAAACTAAAATAGAAAAATAAATTGAAGAATGAAAATGAAGAAGAAATAAATAATTAAAATAAAAAAAAATCCATTAAAATAAAAAACTAATTAATTACAATAGAAAAATAAATTAAAGAAAGAGAATTAAGAAAAATTAAATAATTAAAACAAAAAAAAAATTTAATTACAATAAAAAATAATCCATTAAAACAGAAAAATAATAAATTACAGTAAAAAATAATTAATTAAAATGAAAAAGCAAAAACTAATTGATGTCAAAGGTAAAGAAATACGTGTACGTTCTAGAGGAAAAAATTTTCAATTAGGAAATTTTTATCTTCCTGCATTTAGATAATTGTTTTTTAATTAAACTTAATTAGAAAAATTTAACGAGTTTCAATTGTTTAAAGCTATAAAGTTGACGTATAATAATTTAATGTTTAAAATGTTTAAAAAATTTTAGTGTTCAAAATGTTAACAAAAGCTTCAATGTTTAAAATGTTAACAAAATTTTTAATGTTTAAAATATTTGGAAAAATTGTAATCTTCAAATATTGTTTGATGTTTCAAATGTTTGAATAGAGTTCTTGTGCTTTGATAAATGTTTCCCATTGGAATTTTTTTTTTTTTTTGATAAATTTTTTTTCAAATAGAAAAGCTCACTATAATGACCTCTCTGCATTATCTGAGATGTAAGAGTTTTCATTCTCCTAGCTCTTGTAAAGTTGACTTTAGAAAGATGAATAAGGTGTTCATTTTAATCTATTATCCTATCGTGTAACGTAAAATGATTAATGTCCATTTATTCGCCGACTGAAATTGGCTGAAACTTTTCATAAAAAAAAAAGATGTCACATTACCAGTGTTACATATAAAATGAAAATATGGTGTTCAATATTATAAAAAAAAATAATTTCCAATATTGCTAATGGATTATTTTATTATTTTTATAATAAAATAAAATTTTTTTTACTATTAATTCAATATTTGTTATAAAAACGAAATTTTTAATATTACTAATGGATTATATTTTGTTATTTTATAAAATTAAATTCTGCTTATAATTAATTTGAATATTATTATCATAAAAAAATATAATTTCCAATATTGATAATGAATTATTTTATTAATTATATAATTTTATAATTATTTGATTAATTTTACGTAAATAAATTTAATGATATTGTTATAATAAAAAATATCCAATATTGCTGATAGATTATTTTCTTCTTTAGAAGAAAATAATTTTAATTCTTGAGAAGTAGATAAAATAATTATCTTTTCAGTTTTTAATTATTAAAAATACTGTCTCAAAGTAGCAAATATTATGAACTTGATGATAAATCTTACAAAACAAGAGAATCTAGACTTTTTGCTTATTTTATAAAATACTATAAGAATATTTATTACTACTTCTGTTGCTAAGAAAGACAAGATTTATTATGATTAACTTACATGGCAAAAAGACAAGCCAACAATTAAATAATTAGAAAAGTTTCACTATTAAAAGTTAAACAAACTTAAAATACTAAAATTAAAAACTTTAAACTTTTAATTAATTAAATAATTAATTGATTAATTAATTAATTAATTTTCTTTTAAAGTTTATAAATTTTATTACTTAGAAATTTTTTTAATTCTCAATTATGACACAATTAAATTAATTTTACTTTTAATTTTAATTTACTTTTAATTTTACTTTCTGCGTTTTATGAGTGACATGCGTGTTTTTTATTTTGTATAGAAAATTATTTTCAACTTCACACTTAAAATGGAGATAAAATGCTCGTCAGCCACTTGCACTTTAAACGAATAATAATTTGAAAATGAAACTTGTTTAAAATACACATATTGTATTTAACATACATGTATTTTAATAGCTTTCTGTTACTGACAGACGTGAAATTTCTATAAATATATTTTCAAAATCAAAATAATAAATATTTCAAAAATTACGATTTGAAAATTTGTGAAAATCAATTATTTCTTAAAATTGCAACTTGCAACTTTTTGCAAAAATTCAATTATTTCAAAACTTTCAATTTGAAACCAAAAATTCAATTGTTTCTTAAAATCTAAACTAAAACTATTTCAAAAATTCAATTATTTAAAAAATTTTTAAAATTACGATTTAAAAATTTCTGAAAATCAATTATTTATTAAAATTACAACTGCAACTCTTTCAAAAATTCAATTCTTTCAAAAGTTTCAATTTAAAACCTGAAATTCAATTATTTGTAAAAATTTCAACTGAAACTATTCCAAAAATTCAATTATTAAAAAAATTTAAAAAATTACGATTTGAAAATTTGTGAAAATCAATTATTTATTAAAATTAGAACTGCAACTCTGCTTTCAAAAACTAAGTCATTTCAAAAATTTCAATTTGAAACCTGAAATTCAATTATTTGTAAAAATTTCAACTGAAACTATTCCAAAAATTTAATTATTTTAAAAACATTAAAAATTACAATTTGAAAATTTCTGAAAATTAATTACTTATTAAAATTACAACTTCAACTCTTTCAAAAATTCAATTATTTCAAAAATTTCAATTTTAAACCTATTGAAGTTCAATTATTTATAAAACTTTTAATTCTAAAATTTCAAAATGTTAATTATTCAAAAAATCTTAATTTGAAACCTTGAAATTCAATAATTTATAAAAATTATAATTGAAACTAATTTAAATGAAAATTATAAATTCAAAAATTCAATTTTTTAAAATAACTTCCATTTGAAACCTTATGAAATTTGATTATTTAAAAAATTTCAATTTAAAACCTTGTAAAGTTCAATTATTTATAAAAAAAACATAAAATTCATTGATTTATAAAAATTGCAACAAAAACTCATCCAAAATTTAAATTATTTTAAAAATTTCAATTTAAAATTTTCTGAAGTTCAATTATTTATAAAAATTTCGAATCGAAACCTTGTGAAATTCAATTATTTGTAAAAAAAAATTGCAACTGTAACATTTCCAAAAATTTAATTATTTCAAAAATCTAAGTTTGAAACCTGAAATTCAATTATTTATAAAAATTACAACTAAAACTCTTTAAAAAATTCAATTATTTTAAAAATTAAAAAAAAATTATTATAAAAAAATTATTTTATAAATAAAACTTTTAATTCTAAACCTTCTAAAATTGAATTATTTCAAAAATGTTAATTTGAAAAAAAAAATTTAAAAATATTTTCAAAATGAAAAAATACAGTCGTTTAACAATATTTTTTTAATGTTTTAAATTTTTAACTTTTACTCAGTAACCAAACATAAATAATTCAAATTTAAGAAATTTACATTTAAAAATTTGTAATTAAAAATTAATTTTCCTAAAATTTTTAACGTTTAACTGAACAAAACATTTTTTACATTTAAATATTTTTAAAAATTATTATACTGAAATTATGTACCTTAAATTTTTAAGGTTCAAACGATCGAAAAATATTTATTTCTACTTAAAATTTTAATTTTATTAAATAAAATTGTGTCACGTATGAAAAAAGTAAATAATAAATTTCCTTACTGCTTGATTTCAAATTTTATTTTTAATTTAAATTTTCAAATGAAGAGTAATTTTTGAAAAACATTTTTGCAAACAAATTTCGTTTACTTGATCGTTTAGAACCTCATGGTCCATCTAAGATGAAAAATTTTGTAAATTAAACATTTACTTAGATAAAAATTAATTTTTTAATATTTCTCAGGAAATAACTTTTGTTTTTGTAAAATACAAATTAAAAAGGAGAAACTAAAAATTTTGTCGCGTCCTCTGAACGTACGAAACTTAAATAATATAAAAATGGCAAATTATAATAATAAGTAAAAATTATTAAAAAAAAAAAAAATGAAATGAAAATAGTTTCTAACACAAAATTAATTTGTTTTTTGTCTGTAATAATATTTGTGAAAATACGTGTCACAAGTAAAAACTAATCTGCCGAGACAAGAGAAAGCCCGAAATCAAGCGATTAGTTGGCACTGAATTCAGTTTGGAAATGCAGTAAAACCGTAAACTCTAGTCATAAAATATGTGGTGCTGCCAAGTGTTTTAATATATGTGGATAAAGGAATCTCAAAATGAATAAAATCATTGTAACAAAAATATATTATACACAAGGCAAAGCGCACAAAAAAAACAATAAAACAAACATTTTTTACACAGAAAAAAACTAGGACATTTCTTTCTGTCGAATGATTAATTTAAATTTTATTTTCAATCTTAATCTTAAATTTACTTTTAGTTTTGATTTAATTTTAATTTTAACTTAAATTTAGTTTAAATTTTTAAGTTTAACTTTAATTTCAACTTTAATTTTTAATTAAAATTTTAACTTTAATTTCAACTTTAATTTTAACTTAACTTTAATTTTAACTTTAATTTCAACTTTAATTTCAACTTTGATTTTAACTTAACTTTAATTTTAACTTTAATTTCAACTTTAATTTTAACTTTAATTTTTATTTCAATCTTAAATTTGGAACCTTCAAGATAATTTAAAACTTTCTTTTTCACTTTGTTTTTTGTTTTAATAAATTCTTTTTTTTAAATATAATGCATTTTATTTGAACAAAAGAAGCGCTTGAACAAAAGAAATCATACACGTATGAGTCAGCGTTCTTTTATTGAAGAAGATTAAATCTATATTCATACTAGGAGAAACTATAGTATATAGAGTGCACAACGGTTTAAGTTCAATTCCAATCACCGTACTTTTTTCCCAAGTGTAAATTTCTTCCTTCATTTTGATTTTCAATTCTAATATTAATTTCTTTTTCTCGTTTTTATTGTGTATTAAAAAATTTGGAAAATAACCAAAGTAATTTTCAACCTTGCGATGCAAAATGAATTATTAATATTTTACGATAGAATTAAAACTCACCTTTCTTGTGGAATGTCTATGATAACGATGAGGATGTAACATGCAGATGTAACGATCTATCGCCATGCAAACCAGAATTACAGCACTTTGTTGAGTGAGAGCCCCTCTGAGCAGCGCCTGAAACATTTATTACCAATTGTTCATTTAAAAGCTTTTGGAATATTATTATTAGTTATAATAAATTATTTATTTTATGAAACAATTATTTTAAAACTAGCAAAATTTCAATGCCCTCTGTTTTTATGATTATTAAAACAACAGAGCATGACATACAATTTAAAATTTCAAGCGAAACAGAATTCGTCAATTATAAGTTATAATTTATAAATAATATTTACTCTACAATTTTGATTCATTTATGTGTTTATTCTTTATAATTTTTTTCTTTACTTTTTACTGTGTATAGAATCTATGCTTAATTATTTGAATTGATTCTTACACATCAGAACATTCTTCATTGTGTTGTTTTAACGATTGCTAATTGCTAAAACAAAAGTTGAAAATATTTTGTCTGACTAAAAATAAATTTTACTATTGAAACATTAGGCAAATTGCAGTAGTAAACAAACTTGCAAAAAAAGTTAAAAAATTGTCTTACTACATATTACGTTTACTGCTCATTCGATAGTTATGAAATTAAATTCATTTTTCTGACCAAACTTGGTTTTTACTACTTATTTTAATGTGAATAAGATTTTAGCTTTGTCTGGCCAAACTTGGGTTTTACTACTTATCTCTAAGTAAATAAGATTTTAGCTTTGTCTGACCAAACTTGGTTTTGACTACTTATATCAATAATATATAAAATATTTTATCTTTGTCTGACCAAACTTGGGTTTTACTACTTATTTTAATGTAAATAAGATTTTAGCTTTGTCTGACCAAACTTGGGTTTTACTACTTATCTCTAAGTAAATAAGATTTTAGCTTTGTCTGACCAAACTTGGTTTTTACTACTTATATCTATGTAAATAAGATTTTAGCTTTGTCTGACCAAACTTGTTCTTTACCACTTATCTCTAAATAAGATTTTAGGAAATTTGTCTGACCAAACTTGGGTTTTACTACTTAACTCATAATAAATAATATTCTAGTAAATTTGTCTGAACCAACTTGTTTTTTTACTACTTATTTCTAAATTAATGAGATTTTTCAAATATGTCTGACTAAACTTGGTTTTTTATACTTTTCTTACAATGAAAAAGATTTAAGCAAATTTGTTTCAAAAAGTAAATACTTCCAAAAATACAATTTGAAAATTTGTGAAATTAAATTATTTATTAAAATTACAACTGCAACTCTTTAAAAAATTCAATTATTTTAAAAATTTCAATTTGAAACCTTTTTTGCAGTTCAATTATTTGTAAAACTTTTAATTGTAATATTTCAAAAATCTTAACTTGAAAATTTGAAATTCAATTATTTATAAAAATTATAACTGAAACTGTTTCAAAAATTCCATTTAAAAAAAAAATTTGAATTTGAAACCTTCTACAATGTTTTATTTATAAAAATTTCATTTTAAAACCTAAAATTAAATTATTTGTAAAAATTTCAACTGAAACTATTCCATAAATTCAATTATTTTTAAAATTATAATTTGAAACCTAAAATTCGTTTCTTTATAAAAATTGCAATGGAAACTCATTTAAAAATCCAATTATTTACAAAAATTTCAATTCGAAACCCTGTGAAATTCAATTATTTGTAAAAATTACAACTGCAACTGTTCAAAAACTTTAATTATTTTAAAAATCTTAATTTAAATTTTAAAATTAAATTATTTATCAAAAATTATAACTAAAACGGTTTCAAAATTCAATTTAAAAAAAAAAAACTTTCACTTTGAAAAGTTTTGAAATTTTATTATTTATAAAAATTGTTATATTAAACGTTCTAAAATTCAATTATTTTTAAAATATTAATTTATAAGCTTTAGAAATGTATGTATTGTTTAAAATTGTTTCTGTAACTGATAAGAAAATTCAATTACCAACTTAAAAAATACTTTTAAAACCAAAAAATAAATATTTCAAAAATTACAATTTGAACTGAAATTTGATCATTTCTTTAAATTACAACTGCAATTCTTTGAAAAATTCAATTTTTTTAAACATTTCAATTGGAAACCTAAAATTGAATTATATGTAAAATTTGCAACTACTTATTATACTAATAATATTTACTACTTATTTCTAAATAAATAAGATTTTAGCTTTGTCTGACCAAAATTGGTTTTTCTACTTTTCTTACAATAAAAAAGATTTAAGCAAATTTGGCTGGCCAAACTTGGTTTTTACTACTTATTTCTAAATAAATAAGATTTTAGCTTTGTCTGACCAAACTTGTTCTTTACTACTTATCTCTAAATAAGATTTTAGTAAATTTGTCTGTCCAAACTTGTTCTTTACTACTTATTTATAAATAAATAAGATTTTAGCAAATTTGGCTGGCCAAACTTGGTTTTTACTACTTATTTCTAAATAAATAAGATTTTAGCAAATTTGTCTGACCAAACTTGATTTTTACTATTTTTTTCACAATAATAAATATTTAAGCAAATTTGTCTCACCAAACTTGTTTTTTACTACTTACCTCTAAATAAATAAGATTTTAGCTTTGTCTGACCAAACCTGGTTTTTACTACTTTTCTCATAATAAATAAGATTTTAGTATATTTGTCTGACTTAAAACATCTTTTACCACTGAAACTTGAACTACTGATTCGAAAGTTATGAGATAAAATAAAGTCTGACAAAAAATTGTACTTTACTACTTGTTTTTAAATAAGCCAGAAAGATTAACAAATTTATCTGACTAAAAATATTTTCTTGGGATTGAAATTTGGAAATATCTCATTTTTAATTAAATTTATTCTTCTTGTGTTTTTTTGAGAAGAAAAAAGTTCCATTCGCTACTAAAACACAAATATAAATCATTTAGACTGATTGAATATGAATCTTACTACTAAAATACAAATACAAATCGCAAAATGAAAAAGAATTATTTGACTACAAATAACTTTTACTACTGATTCGAAAGTATTGAAAAAAATATATTTGCATGACCAAAATTGTTCTTTACTACTTATTTCTAAAGAAATGTGATTTTAGCAAATTTGTCTGACTAAAAAATTTTATACTACTGAAATCTACATTGCCCTTTAAATTAATTTCTTTTTTTTTTTGCATTCGCGACTGAAACACAAGTTAAAAGTTATTAATATAAATTTTTATTGACTAAAAATAAATTTTCAAAAAATATTTCATTTAATCATTGATATTATATATATAAATTGTTGTAATCATGTAGAAATTTGCTAAAAACTAAAACAATTGTCGTTTGCTTTGGAATAAATATAAAAAAAAAATGTGTGACTGCAAATTAATTTTTCTACTGATTCGATAGTTATGAGAATCAGTACATTAGTCTGACCAAAATTAATTTTTACTACTTGTTTAAAAATAAATAGGAAGATTAACAAATTTATCTAACTAAAAATATCTTCTTCTACTGAATTTTAACTGGAAAGAATTTTCTTAAAATAAAATATTATTAAATTAGAAAACTGCTAATGAAAAGTAAGAAAGTGAATAGTTTTTGTAAGGAATCGATTGGATTTGATTGAAAAAAAAAACGGAAAAAAAAGCGAAGTGATTGCAGCATTGGTGAAGAGGCGAGAATTCTCAAGACACGTTGGTTAGTTGAAAGTGTATTGGGATATGTTACACGTCTTGGATTGAATCGAATGATACGTGTGAGGGAATGGTAGACAATCGAATCCTTCACTGCCGAGTTATTCAATACAGTGCTTTCGAATTCGAAACCTGGATTAAGGTAACATTTAGGTAGCTTCACCAGGCAAATCCAATGGCTCGCGCAAATCGATCAATCCAGTAATGAAGTAGGGATTTGAAACTAACCGTCCGTACTCCATACGATTTAGAACTTGCCTGATCTGACCCTGATTTACTTCACAAACCAAACATATATTTACACCATTTCCCTTTCAAATCTCACATATGTTTGTATGTATGTAATTGGAGAAATTAATCTTTAACGCTATTTAATTATTTTTGTAACTGTAAATCTGATTTAATTAATTATTAATTCATTTCAATTAATTAATTAATTAAATGATTATTAATTAATTATTAACTAATTTCAATTAATTAATTAAATAATTATTAATTAATTTGATTTAACTAATTTCAATTAATTAATTAAATAATTATTAATTAATTATTAACTAATTTCAATTAATTAATTAAATAATTATTAATTAATTTGATTTAACTAATTACTAATTACAGTACGGAAATTCATACGGAGTTAATTAATTATTATTAATTAATTTAATTTAATTATTTAACATGTGAACACTTTTCAATACCTCATAGTTTACTGGTAAGAACAAAATAATTCTTATTGGAATTTTTGTGTAATATGATTGATTCTCTTCGAAATTTCATTAAAACAGATAATTTTTCTCTGTATTTTTCTTGCTAATGTTCAATTTCATGCTGGAAAAAAATACTGCAAGAAAAATAAATTAAATAAAAATACATTATATGTTACCACGCTTCTGCTCTTTACGAAATTCCCTGACTTTTCCAGGTTTTTCAGGTTGAAAAACGAAATTTTCTTGGTTTTTAAAACGAAAATTATTCGAAAACATCCAATAACTTCATTTTCAAATAAATATTTAATCATTATTTTTTATAGAAATTAAGATATTCAAAAATTTTAAATTCAATAACATATAACAATTATTTTCATTATTATGATTATTCATTTCTAGAATTTTCAACTAAAATTCTTCTTTGAGTCAATTTTTTTTTTTAATAATTTTTGAAAAAGTTCTTTGTGAATTTTCAAATCTTTTGTTGACAATTTAATTTTATGAAATTTCGATTATTCTAACACTCTTCAATTAAATATAATAGAAATTAAAAACTTCAAAAAATTTAAAAAAATTCTATTAAACTTTTTGAGAAAAATTAATTCTACAGAATTCTTAATTAAAAGTATGAAAAGTTCAAATTTTCAAAGATTTTAATTTGAAATTCATTTTTAAATCAATATTTATTAGAAAATTCTACGAGAATTCAATTATT